CTCGTAGGCTTGACTTTTGACTTCTGGAGAAGAAGGGACCCTTCTCCCTGTGTGACCATGTGCACTCAGTGATGTGTCTTGTTCATTATTCCCTCATGCGTATCTACGGCAGGCTTTCTTGACGTGTCCCCTTGGAGAGCTGAAACACACGTTGGATTTGGTGTCGCTACGGTCCAGCTCGGTTTTGCTTTCTTCCCTGGCCCTCCCCCGTCTCAGTCGGTCACGTGCCATGCACAGTGTCACTCCACCAGAAACCTGGTGGCACTCAGCCTCGGTCCCTCTCCTTGCATCACCCTGCACCCCGAGATGACCGTGTGCTAGCTGTCTGGTCTGTGTGCATCGGCCTTTCTCTGTCTTCATGAAGGACGTGTTACCCTGCAGGGGTCCTGGGAGGTCTCTGCTAATTCGCCCTCCTCATTCCTCACAGCAGCAGGACTGGTGTTAGAACTGCAGATGAGATTTTGTTGCTGCCCTGCTTCTAAAGCCCCCCAAATATGTCAAAACTCTGTGCTGCCTTGGTGAGCACTCTGCCGCTCCCCACACCTTCCTGCCCATTCTGTCTGACGGCTGCTTTCTCGGTTCCTGCATGTGGGTCGCACTGCACTGTGTGTCTTTGAGGTCACCACACCTGCCCTTCTGAGCCGTTGCTTTGTAGTAGTCCATTGGCAGATCTTAGAATGCTCTTTCCCTGGCTCTCATGTGACTAGCCTTTTGTTAAAGAGCTTTGGTGGCTCAGTCATGAAGTGCTTGGCTGCTACTCAACAAGGCCGGTGGGAAAAAAGACCTGGTTATGCTCTTGTAAAGGTGACAGCCTCAGAAACAGACGGGGCATTTCTCTGTCACACAAGCTTGCGCTGAGTTGGAATTGACTTGGTAACACACAGTGAGAACACCATTGTTTTTACACTGTCAGCAGACTTCTGTCATATCCTCTCCTTTGCATTCATAAACACGTATGTGCACATACGTGCCTTTTTGTCTGGCTGCCTTAAGCTGTGTTTTGTGTGCACTTAAAAGTGAGCTGAAATTGCCTTGTGTCAGCCAGCGTGTAACCTGGTCAGTGGTCTGCTGTCTGTTGCCGTGTGAGGCATTTATAATAACTTTTTGTGTTCTAACTAGTATTGCCATCCATAACCAAGCTGGTCAGTGTCTCTGTAGCCATCTTACAGAAATGATTGTTGTGAGAAGACATATTTACAAGACACTGGTCGTGGCACTCTTTGTTCTGATGAAGGCTTACCACCACGCAGCAAGGCACTGGGTTGATGAACAGGCAAGAGTGGTGGTGCGCTGTCTTGGCTGTGTGAGGCCTAGCGAGGGGAGCCTGAGAGATGCTTACAATACAGGAAGCTCGTGTCTTTGCAGAGGAGCTGTAGAATCCCCCTTCAGGAAAGGCTGACGGGGAGGTGTGTACACAGCACCGTGTCCATCTCGGGAGCTACGGCCAGCAGCACCTTCCTTTACCCCTGCTCCTCGGTTCTG